CCTCTGGGGTCTATAGGCATTAAACAATAGTTGTAAGTGTGGCTATATTTATATTAAAGGTTGCTCCTTTTTACTAATCCTGTACTCTGGTTACATTGTTTCTTATATATGTGTTGAACTGGATCCATCCCTGATCTGTGTCATGCAGAAGCAGAGGATTCTGTTTGTCCCCTGTGGCTGCCTGTGCTCATTTACTCCTGTACTCAGGCCGTACAGACCCTATTTAAGTAACAGTGCTGCAAATCTCCCTCCATCTATTTGCTGCTATTTAATTAATATTTTTAAGCCTTTGGCAACTGTGAGGGTGTACTGTGAGCGTGGAGAAGTACATTTGTTTTTTGTACATGATTGTAGTCTAGTTAAACTTTAACTTCAGCATATGGTTTTACTTGTTGCACAAAGTCAATTTGTATGTAATGTACCAGTATTCAGCCAAGAACTGTCAGTATGTGAGAGCAGCCTGATGTCTAAATCGAAGCTATAGTCTGAAAATATCTTTTGACTTGTATGCTGTACACAAGACTGCTAGTGAACATTCCTCAGGGATTACTCTACTTCATGTTAAATTACATTAGCTTCATTTGGCTTCACTGTGTCAGCTTGAATATGTCATCATGCATTAAGAAAGGCTCTGTTATTGGCTGCTTGACAGGTTCTGCCCTATTATCTGTGGTCATTGGTGTGTGCTCAGCTCTAATCAGTGTGAGTGCACTTTTTTTTTTTTTTTTTGCACTGGTACACATTTTGAACTAGTTTACTTTGACAGATAGGCTGTAGGTATTATCCTTCACAGGTTTTTGTTGTCTAGTTTGCTTTAAGGGTTCATCAAATAGTTTTGCCATGCTGCATTTTAAATTAAAAGGTAAGGTATTTTAGTTATAGCTGTTGTCTGGAAGCCTAAGACTCGGCTATCTTCCTAAATCTTAAAGTAGAACTATAGGCATGTTTTTATTTTGGAGTAAGGGTGCGTTATAACCCCTCTCAGATTTTTTTTTTCACCATATATGTCCCATTGCGGATATTTCCCTTCACTTCCTATCCCATAGCCAAACAGGAGAGGAAATCACTGCAAACTAAGGGAATTCATTTGGGACCCCCAGGTCACCAGAACTAGTGTCCCCGTTAAAAGATTTCCAGTCTACTACTTTACTAGGGACAATCCAAAGTTTGGAATTTTCTTTTACATTCACTTTCAATGATAGTGGAAGACAGGACAAATAGGGTGAATCTACTTAATGGGGGCACAGACAGTAATAAAAACTGACAGGGGTTCTGATCACTCCAAACCTTCTCTCTCCAAATGAAGAGTCATCATCTCTAATAACTATATAATGTTTTTTACAAAACCTATTAGGCATGAAGTAAGGGACTTGAAAAAGGAAGGAGGAAACTTGGAGACAAAGGGATAACAAAGATGGTGGAAATATAGGAAAGGGTAGTGGAGGGGTAACTCCTAATGATGTCAAATGTAACCCCAGTACCATGCATGGGATGTTTCAACTGTATGGTTCAAGGGCTAGTGAGTATTTTGGTACTGTATGTAAAATAGTTCCTTTGTCCCCCTCACAGCTCCAACACACTAAAGGTATGGATAGAGAAATACGCTGTAAAAAAAGCTGAGAACTCCATACCACCTTGTCATTAGTTTGTCATTTGTCTCTTGATAATTCGTGTTCAGAAAGTTCGAATGGGCAAAGCTAATGATTCCAGCTTGATTCCTTGTTAGATTTATTGGTAAGTCACCTGCCCGTTTTTGTAAGAATGGCTGGGGTGGAATATGGTCTTCCCTGAAAAGAAGTGTGTACAGCCTAGATAGCGTGTCCCTGATAAGGTCCTTTCCAGAACATAGGAATTCAAAAGTAGTCGGAGCCCGGGAGCAATTCTCAGGAAGAGGTAAAGTGGCTAAAAAATGGTTGAATTTAATTAATCTCCAGAACCCTAGAGTTGAATATGGAGTACAATACTTCATTTTTGAAAAAGAGGGCCATGTAGATCGATCTCTGAAATGCATCATTTTTAATTTACTTGTCCATATCAATGTCTGAAAGCCTGGATCCTTTTAGCTTGGTGGAAAATCGGATTTCTCCACTACTGGAATTAACGGTGATGTAGCTGCAGAAAATTGTGAATGTTTCGCCGCTGTAAATATAGCAAGAGTTGGGCTCATGGTTGGATGGCTATGCAGGGGCTCATGGAACTTCTAAGGGATTTAAGGTAGGTTACTCAGGGGAATGCAAGTATTTATCTGTTCATATGACATCAAGTGAACCGTGTAGAAGTAAAACCCTATGTCTTGGATAACCAAGCAACCCATGGACTTAGGTTTCCTAAGGATGGTATATCTAACTTTGGCAGGTTTACCTGCCCAGATAAAAAATAGGGCATGCATATGTCAAAGGAAAGTTTTTGGTAGATAAATGAGCAAGGCTTGTGTAATTTTTATCAGGTTGTATTTTGGTAACCAGGAAAACATTGTTCCAAATCAGTTTTCACTTTTTTTCTAAGAGCAGGAGAAAATGTAAGCTAATTTGGAATGTGAATGCCAAGTTATTTGATAGAGAAGTTTGACCAGCAAAAAGGGAAATGATTTTTGACTATTACAAGCTTGTGGTCAGGGACACTTACTGTATACTGAGGGCCTCTGATTTTCAGAGTTTGATATTAAAATTAGATATGGCTCCGTATGTCTGTAGTTCTTTCATTAGACATGGTAAGTAAATGATATGGTTTATGATGAAAAAAGAGAAGATCATCAGTGAAGGCTGCTATCTTGAATGTCCTATCAGCATGAGTTTGCAAGTATACTGATTCACACTATTGCGGACAGTGCGGTCCTTTTCTGTTCGGACATGGCAGCCCATTCATTTGAATGGGCTGCTGTGCCACGTTTCCCACAGAAAAAAGGTGAATGCACCTTTTTGAGAACACGGCCGCAGGGAAACCGCATGGTCTTATTTTACCATGTGGTTTCCCTGCAGTTCCTACACCCACAATCACACTGCGGGCTGAGATGCGTGGGGGTGCAATCAGAATGAATGACAACCCTGTGCGTCTCGCAAGAGGAGCACGGTGCAGGAACAGGTACAACTTCTGCACCCACAACCAGCCCGCACCCTGCGGGCTAATGTGAACCTAACCAAAGGAGCCTGAGGTGTTGAGACTTTTATTTATTTATTTTTATATATATATATATATATATATATATATATATATATATATATATATAATTATTTTTTTTTTTTTCCAAAAATAATTTTATTGGAAGAGTTAAGGCAGATCAATATGAAGAGACTTTTATATTTTATAATTGTATATCATATACAAATTTGTATATTGATAAGCTATATTACTGTGTAGGAAGCACAGTATATGTTATAAGCAGATATACACTCACCAGCCACTTTATTAGGTATACCACCACTAGCCTGAACCGTTGATACAAGGCAGGATGGATCCATGCTTTCATGTTGTTTATGCCACATTCTGACCCTACCATCTGAATGTCGCAGCTGAAATCGAATGCCCATTCTTGTCTGACATCAACAAGGCATTTTTGTCCACACAAATGCAACTTACTGGATATTTTCTCTTTTTTTGACCATTCTCTGTAAACCCTAGAGTTGTTTGTGAGTGAAAATCCCAGTATTAATAGCAGCAGAGATCCACAGCTCAGGTGGGAGAATCTGTCCACAGGACAACAATTAGTCATGCACTTCACAAATCTGGCCTTTATGAAGGAGTGGCAAGAAGAAAGCCATTGTTAAAAGAAAGCAATAAGAAGTCCCGTTTGCAGTTTGCGAGAAGCCGTGTGGGGGACACAACAAACGTGGAAGAAGGTGCTCTGGTCAGATAAGATCAAATTGAACTTTTTGGCCTAAAAGAAAAACGGTATGTGTGACGGAAAACTAACACTGCACATCACCCTGAACACACCCATCCCCAATGTGAAGCATGGTGGTGGAAGCATCATGTTGTGGGGATACTTTTCTTCAACAGGGACAGGGAAGCTGGTCAGAATTGGTGGGAAGATGGATGGAGCCAAATACAGGGCACTCTTAGAAGAAAACCTGTTCGAGTCTGCAAAAGACTTGAGACTGGGGGGAGATTCACCTTCTAGCAGGACAACAATCCTAAACATACAGCCAAAGCTACATTAGAATGGTTTAGATCAAAGCATATTCACGTGTTCGAATGGCCCAGTCAAAGTCCAGACCTAAATCCAATTTAGAATCTGTGGCAAGACTTGAAAATTGCTCTTCACATACGCTCTCCATCCAATCTGACAGAGCATGAGCTATTTTGCAAAGAAAAATATGCAAAAATGTTACTCTTTCGATGTGCAAAGCTGGTAGAGACATAAACAAAAAGACTTGCAGCTGTAATTGCAGCGAAAGGTGATTCTAAAAAGTATTGACTTGGGGGCTGAATACAAATGCACGCCACACTTTTGAGATATTTATTTGTAAAAAATTTTGAAAACCATTTATCATTTTTCTTTCACTTCACAATTATGTGCCACTTTGTGTTGGTCTATCACATAAAATCCCAATAAAATACATTTATGTTTTTGGTTGTATCATGACAAAATGTGGAAAATTTCAAGGGGTATGAATACTATTGCAAGGTACTGTAAATCCCCTTTCTTCCCCATCCTGATGCTCGATTTGAACTTCAACAAGTAGTCTTCACCACGCCTAGATTCCTAAATGCATTGAGCTGCTGCCATGTGATTGTCTGATTAGCAATTTGTGTAACCAAGCAATTGAACAGATGTACCTAATAAAGTGGCCAGTGAGTGTAGTTCACCCTTGAACATGTGTAATTATAGATTAAAAAGTTTGTTTCATTATTTAACACAAAGTGCCCAAGATAATAATGCTAAACATAGTACTGTACATCGATATATTTTTTTTTTTTTTTTGCGAATTGTAATGTGGAGATCTATATTTGACATTTATGAGAGTTCGTTGGTTGAAATGAATGTCTTCCTTTTCATCCAGTAGAACAAGAAAATGCTGCACCTGTAGCAGAGACTGAAACAGCAGAGACCTCTCCTGTGCTTGAAGCAAGTTCAGACAATGTCCCGGAGGAGCTGGTCTCAGCAGCGGAAGACTGGTCAGAGCTCTCAGCTAGGAAACCAGAAGAATCAGTTGAGGAGAATTCAGATGCAGCACAAGGTGAGTGCAGTAAAGAAGTCAGTAGTAAAAACACCTTATATTGCCATGGCAAAGTGGTCCCAATCTATAATATACAGATGGCAAATAGGAACATTAACCTTGTCAATATATATATATATATATATATATTTTTTACACGTAACCCTTATCAATATTTAATTTGTATGTCAATAAATTAACAACTTAGAATTAACAGGCTACAGTGAGATACCTAAAATAACACAGTGCTCAGTGTTTTAAATTTACTGCCATTACAATATATTGAAGTGTAAAAGTGTACATTGTTTATGTCAGTGTAAAATGAATTTAACTTTGTTTCCTGCAGTACTGTGCAAAACCTCTAGGCACTTGCGAAAAAATGCTGTAAAGTGAGGATGCTTTCAAAAATAAAGAATAGCTTTTAATTGATCAGTTAACAAACTACAAAGGAAACTTGGATCAAATGAAAGACACATCATGCTGACTTCTTTTAGTAATCAAAAGATGTCCAGTGGCACCATCAGTTGATACTTAGCAGGAACCAGTGGGACCCTGGTACATCCATCTGAAGCCTGGAGAAATCTGATCAGAAGTGTTTTTCATGGAAAATTTGCCCCTAAAAAAATTATACTTCTGACACTGAAAATACAAGAACCAGTGTGCAGAAAAATGTCAGCAGGTACTGTTGAAAGATGAGTCAGTGTTTGAAATATTTGGTTGTAATATGGAGAGGTGTCCAAGGACAAGTGTTTACAGGCAACAGTGAAGCATTGTGTAGTTTAATTGTATGGTTGAAGTTGCATTTCTACAATTGCAGTGATCATTCTTGATGCTGTTTTAAAGGCAAAGTTTGGACACACAAAATATTGATTTGATTTTTTTCTGTTTATTCACTTTATAGGTTGTTAGTTGATAATAAAAAAATGTAATTGCATTATTTTTTAAAGTATTCTCACTTTACAGCATTTTCCACAAGTGCCTGAAATGTTTGCTCTGTACAGTGAGAAGTGTTTGTGGGGAATGCAATGGCCTTATGTCATAAAAAACTTGAGAATGTTTGTTTTTTTTTATTTTAGAGAGTGAAGAGGCTGTAGAATCTGAAGTTGCTGCAAGTTCCTAAAGGTAAAATTCAATTTCAGTGACATGTTAAAGGATATGTTCAATTTTCTAAAAAAATAATAATAAATGCAATTTTTTTTGCAGGTAAAAATGTGTATTTATTATTTTGTTTTGGAAGCCTATAAAGCATTCCACCTGCGATCAATAGTCTCAGGCTCCTGCAGACTGTCAGTGTATCTGTTTGCTTGTACCTGGTATGGGCAGGCAGTAAAACAATGACAGTAAGGCTACCTAGAGTGCTCACTGGCGCCCTGGCAGTTCATTGATAACTACAAGCCGTCAGCTGCAAAGGTTGTCGGTACTTGTAGTTCATTCCGTGACATGGCCTTGTGGGCGGCCCTCTGTCACAGAGAGGGGGGGGGGATCAGGGAGAGGCTGCAGGCTTGGGAACACGTTATATGTTCCACCCTAAACATGGATGGAACATGTTCCCAAAGGTGAACTTATCCTTTCATTTCAATACAGAATACAGAACATGGGTCTACCATTATGTCTTGAAAGTTTGTGTCATGTCTGTGAGCCCAGTACATACTCCCAGAGTTGAAATTTTGTGTGTCAAACAAGTAGCTGCTGAGAGGAGAGGTGAATGTAATCTCTTGCAGGAACCTTTCATCTACATTTTATGTTATCCTTGCAAGGTTGGTTTCAACCTGTCACAGGCCTGGGCTATTCAGACTAAGCATGCAATGAATATGTAAGAAGTGACAGTGAAGACTGCATGTCAGAACAATCAATAGATCCTTTGTTACATGCCAATCTCAGTACTGCCTGTTAAATCTGCGCTTGGCCTCACTCTCTGCTGTCTTCTGCGTCACAATACTGGTCATACCATTAAAGGACTAACACAAAGGCTTTAGAGGTGGGAGTGAGAAACATCAAATTTTACAAAAAAAGTAATTCTTTGCATATTATGTCAGCTTTTGAGCTCCAAGGAATTACTGATCATTAACTGAATTCTGTATGTATTCATAATGTGCTCAGTTTGTGCAAGGATTAATTATAGTGTCTTTTCACACCACGCAGGTCTGCAGTAGCGCACTGAACACTTTTGTGCTGCAATAGGGCAGACTATTCATTTGAATTGGTTTCCCAAATGTACCACAGCAGACCAAAAATTGTGAATGCACCATTTTTAAAACAGTAGTGTTAATAGTAGTGGGTGGGAAGGTGCATTTGGGGTGCAGTTCAAGTGATGCATAACAAGCACTGTGTGTTAATGTGCATCTTAATGCAGGGCACAAGTGTAAATGTGCCCTAATGTTCTAAAAAAGAACGTTTAAGAGAAGCAGAGAGTATATTTACTTCTTGTTGGATCATTATATAAACCAGACTGCAAATGTACCTCATCCCTAATATAAACCACAAAAATCTAATGGGACTTTACTGGTACAGAAAACAGACAACTTCATATTACTGTATAAAACATGTTTATTGAAACATATCTTCCAAACATTTACCATAAAAAACAGTATTTGGCTAGTCAGCCCAATAAATCACAGCATTATGTATTATGACATCTAAGTCCTCCAGAGGTGGACGCATTTCACTTATTAGCTTCCTCAGGACTTGAAGAATTGGCGGTAAAGAAGTCCAATGCACTAGATGTCAACATGAATGGTAATATAGGGCAGCAGCATCCACAGAGTGGTTAAAATGGTCATGGATAAACATCCGTACACACGGCCACCTCCCCTCGTGCCCAATGAAATTAGGCCTGACAAAAGAGGCAGACAGCAGATCTATCCACGTGCCGATGTCATTCATATGTGATGCATCTTGTGCACATTTTCCACAAAGTAATCTGGTTATCCCATCACAAAGGTAGAAGTCGGAAAGGTCCACCATCGGACACTAATTGTGCAGTATCAATAGATTGCTTTAACGTCCAATAACTCTTCTGTGTCAGTCACTAAGATTATCCACATATGGTTCCTATAATACACCGTGCAACGACAATCGCCCTGAACACACCATCCCCAACGTGAAGCATGGGGGTGGCAGTATAATGTTGTGGAGATGCTTTTCTTCAGCAGGGACAGGGAAGCTGGTCAGAGTTGATGGGAAGGATGGAGCCGAATACAGGGCAATCTTAGAAGAAAACCTGTTGAAGTCTGCAAAAGACTTGAGACTGGGGCGGAGGTTCACCTTCCAGAAGGACAACGACCCTAAACATACAGCCAGAGCTACAATGGAATGGTTTGGTCAAGCATATTCATGTGTTAGAATGGCCCAGTCAAAGTCCAGACCTAAATCCAACTGAGAATCTGTGCAAGACTTGAAAATTGCTGTTCACTGACGCTCTCTATTCAATCTGACAGAGCTTGAGCTAGTTTGCAAAGAAGAACGTGCAAAAATGTCACTCGCTGGATGTGGAAAGCTGGTAGAGACATACCTAAAAAGACTTGCAGCTGTAATTGCAGTAAAAGGTGGTTCTACAAAGTATTGACTCAGGGGGGCTGAATACAAATACACGCCACACTTTTCAGATATTTATTTGTAAAAATTAGAGATGAGCGAATCGAACATGACGAAGTGGAATTCGTTCCGAAGATTTGGAAAAATTCGATTCGCGACGAATCCGAAGATTAGCAAACTTCGGATGCACGAATCGAATTTTCCCAAAAATGGCGGCGACATGTGTGGCGACAGGAGAAAATGGACAGAGAAGATGGGGCGGGGATCTCTGGGAAGGCGCGCAGACAAGGCGCGCTGACCCATAATGCATTCATGAGTCATGAATCATGACATGTGATCGCATTAGCCAATCAGCAGCCAGCCAGCACTGTGTAATGGTGGAGCTATAAATCGCGGCCATCTTAGAATTCTCCATTAGCCTCCGGTCATTCAAGAGAGACAGACCTGTGTGTATTACATTCCAGTCACAACGACAGTTTTCCCGCCAAAAGGCAAGCTCAATTACCGATTGGTACAATAAACGACTTTTCCTGCTTCACAACCACTATTGTCTTTTAAAAAGTTAGATCCATTTACACCCGGGGGCGGTAATATTTTTTGGGGGATTGTTCATTCCCGTGACATAAACTACATTTTTAGCCAACGGGAAGCTGCAATTGACCGATTGTGCAAAAAAAACTGACTTTCTGCCCTTTACAAACCCTATTGTACGTCAAAGAGTTAAATCCATTACACCCGGGGGGGGGTAATATTTTTTTGGGGGATTATGCATTCCAGTGACATAAACTCAGTTTCCAGCCCAAAGGCAAGCGCAATTGACCGATTGGCAAATAAACTACTTTTTCTTCACAACCACATTGTACTTTCAAAGAGTTAATCCCTTACACCCGGGGGGCAAAAATTTTTTTGGGGGATATGCATTCCCGTGACAAAACGTACATTTCCAGCCAAAGGCAACTGCAATTGACCGATTGTGAAATAACTGACTTTCTGCTTCACAAACCCTATTGTTTGTTTAAAGAGTTAATCCATTACCGCCGGGGGGGTAATATTTTTGGGGGATTAGTGCATTCCCGTGACATAAAAACAGTTTCCAGCCAAAAGGCAAGCTGCAATTGACCGATTTTTGCAAAAAAACGACTTTCGCTTTTACAAACCCCTATTAAAGTTCAAAGAGTTAATCCTTTACACGCCCGGTGGGTAATATTTTTTTGGGTATTTTGCATTCCAGTGACATAAAAGTACAGTTTCCCGCCAAAGGAAAACTGCAAGACCGATTGTGTAAATAAACGACTTTCTGCTTCACAACCACTATTTTAAAGTTAAAAAAGTTAAAACATTTACACCGCCGTGGCGGGAATATTTTTTTGGGGGATTAGTGCATTTTCCTGACAAAACGTACTTTTTCCCGCCACGCAACGCAATTGCCGGGTTGTGTAAATAAAATGACTTTCTG